TGTGTGATAGTGCGACACTTGCCACTGCACCACCTCCGCCTCGTATTACATATTCGGCGGTGCTGTATAATACCCGCTTCAGAGTACAACTATTAGCCAATCTAAACCGAATTTCATACTATCTGATGGATACTGAGAATTTGAGTGTTTTTTGAAGAAATCGCGTTTACTCTTGCGTCTATGCTTTTTTACCCACATTGAACAATTCCATCACCTGGAAATTTGACTTTCTATAAATATCGCAAGTATTATGGGGATGTGCGTCATACATTCAGTATATTCTTCTTTTCAGTTTCACAATGTGGATATCAAAAAAGCAGAATCAATTTTGGAAACATTTGAGCAGGCAGTTCAGCAGCAGAAGGATAAACTCATGGGGATTATTGGTGAGTGCCTGTACCTGTAATTGTCATCTCAAAAAGTTCCCGGTAGTCCGAGGGAAGGGAGAGAACTGGAGTTGATCCTTATGAAGGAAGGTTTATATGTGTAGTTCTGTTCCCCGTGGTTTTAGATTCAAGAAATTGGGAATTGAAGATTCACGTTTTCTTAGAAGAAGATGGATCATAATCATGCCTGAATGATGTCCTTTTCTTAAAGGTTTCCGACGACTCATGCAATCACGTTGGGGAAATATCCTCAAAGAAGGGCAGGAGGCAATCTGGCAAGATATGGATCAGCCGCTTCCGCACTATTTCTGTAATTCAAGTCACAACACCTACTTGTCTGGTTTGCAAATGAAAGGTGTAGCGACGGTCGAAGGATACATCTACGCTTTGAAGAAAGGAGCACGATTACTTGAACGTGAGTTGTTTTTGCATGATGACTGTAAATGTGAATAATGATATGGAGAATTTTGGCTTTATGGGGATTCATTTACCTACGACGTTGACTTAGGTTGCCATTGGCTTCTCATAGCATAGCATTCTATGAATGTGATACCATATGATGGCAACACCTGAGGAGAATAAGCTTAGCCCAATGTTAATGCTTCCTTTTTCTGTATCCATGGCTTAGATTGATCCATGTGTTTGCTATTTCCAATCAGCCCTTTGATCAACACTCGCTGGTCGAGTTCACAACTATGGCACCATAAGTTTTAGTGCGCAATCCAACCATCGGAAGCGAGGCTGTGCTCAGCATTTGGGCTACTTATATCTTGACGAAATCTTGACCCACGACCCTACCTCTAGTTTTTCCAGTTCCGTTCGGGTGACTTTTCAGGCACCGACTTTTCGTGTACTTCCAGGTTTCAGTTTTAATTCAGACAAGCGCGGCATTTTCTANTAAGTTTTAGTGCGCAATCCAACCATCGGAAGCGAGGCTGTGCTCAGCATTTGGGCTACTTATATCTTGACGAAATCTTGACCCGCGATCCTATCTCTAATTTTTCCAGTTCCGTTCGGGTGACTTTTCAGGCACCGACTTTTCGGGTACTTCCAGGTTTCAGTTTTAATTCAGACAAGCGCGGCATTTTCTAAATTGTAGCGAGTCCTTTCTGACATCTGTCTGCCCGTCCATGTGCGTCGAGAAACTTGAGTAATTACGTAGGGAAGCTCTGTTTTGTTTGGAATTGATGATGCATAGGAGAAGCGGCACATAGATAGCATTGATGGACTGAGCAAGCCCAGTTTACGTTAGGGGGAATGGAGGCGAAAAGGGAGTGTGTGCTAAAGTTAGCTGCTTCTGTACTTCGAACATGAGTGGGTTTCAGCACTCTTCTAAAAAGGTATCTTGTTATAATCAAGCAGCCTTGCCTAGAAAACAGACTGATGGGTGGGGAAAGATTGGCGAATAGCAGTGACCAAAGTGTGGAGATTAAGCCCAAAACAGGTAGGGAGAGTATGAAACAGGAGCTTTTATAGAGGTAGAGGGTACGGCTAATCCCTCACCTTTTCGATATTTCTAATGAACATTCCTTGCGTACTAGATGGCTCAGAAAAAAATTCAGGGATTAATTGATGAATAGATAGCTCCGTCCAAAGCTCTCTCTTGCAAAACCACGAAGGAATAAATTGCTTGAAACATTTCAGTTGATTTGTTCGATGGAGAGCATGGAGAACCGGTCATTACTCACAAACGAACTTTAATTGAGCCAATCACTTTGCGGCACGCCCTAGAAGCTATCAAGGTGAGATTTCAAATTTTAACACAGCGTTGGGGCTACCGTAGAATTGGTTGTTAGAAGTGAATGACATTTGTTGACTTCGAACTCTTGATGGTGATGGGTACGGTAATTCCGGTGGGGAACGAAAGGCTTGTCACATCATATCTCATTTGAAAGGGAGGCAGATCCTTCAATATTTTTGTGTTTTCTAATAGAGAGGTGAAAGAGGTGGAAGATGTGTATTTATCATGAACATTCTTTATTTAGTTTCATTTTTGATAATTTTTTGTACAGTAATTCTCTACGCAACTGCAGAGTGTATCGTCTAGCCGACAACTTTTTCCATCTCCCATTCGCGACATCAACACATTCCCTTTAAGCGGTAACGAATGCAGTCGTGTGAAGCCATTCATCAGAATCACTTAACATTAAGGAAATAAGTTCAGCAACCTCGTATGGCTTTCGAATCGTGGAATTAATGTTTCAAACGAGCAGCAGTCAAATTATTGTCCACAATAACTCGTTATAATTGCAGCGATGTGCGTTCGAATTCACTCCTTACCCTGTGATTCTGACCATTGAGAATCATGTTGGTCTCGTACAGCAAAGAGTAATGGTTGATGTCTTTCAAGAGGTTTGCCTTAATTTCCTTTGAGCTAGTCAAAATGCAGTTTTCTTTCTGAAAAATGATATTGAGCCGTATTTCCTCACACTCTGAAGTTGGTGATGAGAAAAAGTTTGATTTCCTTGTGACATTGATTTCTTGATTGAAGAATGGTTCCGAAGGGATAGATGGTGTAGAAGTTCAGGTGAAAAGGTCGTAGGTTTTTAAATTGAGGATCGAATTGTTTTCGAAGGCACAGTTCACGATGATTTTGGGGTGTAGCGCGAAAATCGGCGTTTTATGAAGACGTTCAGCTCCAAAAGAAGGAGTAAAACTAGGAGTTTAATGAGATTGTGACTACAAAAGTCGCATGGAACATGTAGTTGGAAGAGCTGTCCAAATGTGTGTGCCATCCCAGTACAGCTGTACAGCTGGCTACAGTAAACTGTGTACATGCAAGGAACGCGTCTTGGTGCGAATGGTGCAAACTCTACAGTCTCTAGGTCTTCGTAAGAACTCGTCCACCTTCAGGGTGCACGTCGTCTGAGCAAGTTTCGGACACCCATTACGCCCTATCTAGGCCGTTTTTCTACCCGACAGCGCCCTTTGTGCTATCCTTGGCGACATCGTACTCATTCCAGGAAGAAATCGGGAACCACTTTTTATCGTGAACTGTGCTCTTAAGGAGAAAATGACAAGGCAAATAGGTTACGTCTCCTGAAGTGTTTTCGTTGCTTCATGATCTTTTTCGAGCACTTCAGTATTTCTCTAATAATTCTTTTGCAGGTCCTCGGTGATATGCTCTACATATCTCCCCCAAATTCGGCAAAAGTTGAGTTACCCAGCCCCAATGCCCTAAAGCACAAGATATTGTTGAGAGGTAAAAAATTGGGTGGAGCTCCAGATGATGATAGGGACGACGACGACGACGATCCGCCATCGAAAAAGAAGGTAACATTACCGAATGAATTTGTTGTCGTTACATCATTATATGGGGAAATCCGTTCATGGAAGTCCACAGAAGGCTTTGTGCAGATGAACTTTCCTCATGAAATCCTTAATGATTCCCTAGCAGGCGTATGCAGCTGTATTTAGGAACTACAGAACTTTTTGTAAGCGTATTTTATTCGGTTTCGAGGTATTTGAAGGTGTACGAAAACGATTTTGTTTTTTTCTCCCTTAAAAACAATCAGAAACTGTCAGATATGCGTTGAAAGCGGTGTTAATGGCTCTGAAGGAGCGCTGAATGAAGGAAACTGTTCAACAGAGCTAGTAATGGGGCAGCTGCTCCTGCGTTCTTTCAATCCATTGGGCCCAGCTGAGCTATCGGCGATGGCCGGTGACAGGATCGGGTACGAAACTGTTCAGATTGCCCTTGCAAATTCGTTTTCACTGAGATTTTGCCAGTACATGCTCTACGGATGACAAGCAAATCGAAGAAACAGAATGAGATGTTCCAGTACAACTATTTCTTGGCTGGCAGAAGTTTCGGTGTATCGAAAGTGCTTTGTGCTGAGCGTTGAGGTGAAGATCNTTGAAGAGTAAATATCCGTCAATGGGGAAGCTAAAATGCTATACATACCTCTGATCATGAATCCACTGCGCCAGTGACGGCTTGTGCCACTTGTGACGCATATTTAGAGATCAGTCGTGGTATGTGACCTCTCACACGAAGAATGTTTTAAAGCAGTGGGGCCATTTGCAAGGGCAATCCTTCTCGTATTAGTGCTGATGTATCGTTGATTGGTTCGTTTGAAGGGAAGAACGCGCTGTCTTGTACATCTACCGGCCACCATTGTTTGGGTCGCCATCATAGCCGCTACAAATCTGTATGGAAGTCGAATGCAGGGCGTATCCCATAAAGGGATTGATCAAGCTTCGGAAGCATTATCTTTCGCCCTTTTACAATTACAATAGCAAGTATTTTTATTGTATCAATCGACAGTAATGTTATCCGCACTTCTGCTTGCATCGCTTTACTTCAGTTGCGACAGTAACCTGAATAGGACGTGTCTTTCAAAGCTTCGTACTCTGAACCCTTGTGAAGGTAGATACGCTTATGTATTTGTGGCTTTATGTCAATGAACATGTCGAGATCGATTTTGGCTTAAGAAAGTACCTCTTAATCACTTTTTTTATTCTAAGCAAGTGAAATCGAACTCTTCTTCGTTTCTTTCCATTGCCTCCTTTCTTGTGTTGTTGCAGGAACCCAAGTTTACTGAGCAATTGAAATCGGTTCTTTCAATCGTGGTCAGTTCCAGCAGTTAGTGTGGCATTTCATGATAGTTAACATGCTTTTCCCTTCAGTGCTTCATTAGTTTTGTTGGATTGCTCCATAATTTCCGTCCGCTTTTTTTTTTGAAACCCGAATTTCTCGTGCCCACAGCAGTGTCGATGCAAAATATGGGTTTTCACGGTCGGAAGAGTTTAATGTCATAATGCAACTACCCATACGAACACATTAACTCACCGAATTCCAATCAGATGCAACCATAACAACGTCAGTCTGATAGAACCCTTCAAACTGAAAGTGTGACGGGCGTGACGCTCATTTGTGGAAGGTGGAGAGAAAGGAAGGAAGACAGTGAGAAACACGAAAACCCCATTTGCCTAACACTTGCAACTGGACATGGCAACGTCGTCGGCCGTCCGAATAAAATGGGCAGAAATTTCCATGGATAGCACTTGCCCTGTCCGATAGAGAAAGGGTCTTCCTGTGGGCGAACGAGTAAAACTTTGTCGAGTCAGTCACATCTCTAGGATGTACTACATACACTGAACTGAATCGGACTGCAGTAGAACTTTGTGGAGCCTGGTTGCTAGACGTGGCGAGTCGAATTTGCAGTGACATTGATCTTTCCCAGTCCCTAGAGCAGCTTTACGAAAAAAAGGATTCAGGAATTGGAAAAAACTTGACACCCATTTTTTCGAGTTTTCAATGTGAATCTTTCCCGAGGCAAACAAATTCAATCACTGTCTAGTCCACGTGGGCAGATGATCGTGGCAATGACCTATTGCCGATTGATTGTTCGACAACCAAGCTGTCGAGACATGGACGGTAATTGTGGAGCAGTTCAATCTTTGAAGCGGGTCAAGCTATTCACCTTTGTGTAGAACACTATGTGCGCGGAGAACGTCGTTTGCGCGCGTCCGTCGAAAGTAGGTCACCCTGCCCATTTCGCGCGCGGCGCACCCCACTGAGTTCTTGCAATGACATGACAGTACCATCAAGTGTCAGTGGAGCGCATGTTTTGCCTTTGTCCGTGTTATCTTCTCTTTGACTGACTGCCGTGGGCCAAGCGCAAATCGTATGCCTCACTGACAACTGCGACGTCTGTCAAGTATCGCGGGCTGACCCTCCGCATGCGACGGCTGCGGCGTGACCTAGTTTCTGCGGACGCGCGCAACGAAGCGCACCCCTATGAGCGCTCTTGGGACTGGCTTCAGTTACCTGCGAGGAATCTCTGACTTT